AACATTCTTAAATATATAAAGTACAACAGATGGCGCTAGCTGACACGATCTGTTTCTTGTTTTTAAGAATTATCATTTAAATATATCATAAATATGGCATTTTTCAGTGAAGAAAATTGAACCCTCTCCCTCGCTGTTCAAGACATAATCAATATTCTTTTTATAGTTGATTGCTATGCTGAGAAAAGGTAGATCTATTGTCACGAAAGGACATTTATTTTAACATTTAGGTCAATGATTTCAACATCCGGATTTTTAATCCCTTGATTTCTACCATTTTCGTAGTTTCTCAGCTGTACATCATTCTTCTTCAAACAATATGTACGAAAATATTCATAAAAAACGAATGGAAACGAATTTCAAAATTCTATTACACACAAGTATTGACTTTCGTTTGAAATCACTCTGAGTTCTGTGCTTCTTCTAGTGACGAAGTTATGAGGATTTTCCTGAAGGATATAAATAAGCGGAAAGTTCGCTTTATTTTAATGAATCGAAGTAAAATTTTTACTAGAAGCGTTTCTCATTCCTGAAACTTTCAGATCAAATAAACTATTCTATCTCATAAATCTATTGTGAAGCAAGTTCTCCTTAATATCCTGTTGAGTTCATATCTTATATTAAATATAATAAATTTACTTTATTTGTTTCATCATCTTCTTCATTATTATTATTATCAATTAATTTTGTTTGTTTTAATAATTTAATTAATAAATTTTCATTTAATTCTTTTTGTTTTAAATCTGTAACAATATGTTTTAAATTTGTTTGTATTTTAATTTTATTTGTTTGTTTTAATGATGAATATATACGAAATTGTGTATCCATCATCATTTGTACTATTGAACGTTTTATTAAAAGACGTTCTTGTGGTGATATATAATTATTACATTTATTTAATATAAAAACAATATGTGGTGAATGTGGTTTAATTATTTCATTTGTATTACGTTTTATTATAGGTCGTAATATATCAGCTAATTGTAATAAACGATATAAATATGGATCAGCAAATTGATCTTCAACAATTAAAACAACATGACAAACAGATAATATAAATGCAATTATTTCTAATGTTTGTAATTCAAGTATATTATCAACAAACATTGATCGTGGATCAATTTGTTGTTGCCAAAAATGTGGTGTAGATGATATTTGTTGTTGTTGTTGCTGTTGTTGTTGTTGTTGTTGTTGAGAACGAGGATAATCATTTGATGATTGTAATATTTGTTGTTGATGTAATTGTGAACTTAATAATGGTTGTGTATCAAGTAATATTGTTTGTTCATTTGTAATATAAACATCAATACCATGTGTTATTTTATGAGAATTTGATGATGCTGCTGGAAATATCATTAAACGATCTTCATCAATAAATTGATTTCCACCTAATAATGAAAGTAATGTTGATTTGCCAACTTTTTCTCTACCTATAGCACCAATAACAACAAAACCATCGGAATCTTGTAAGTAATTATTTAATTGTCCATTTTCACACCATGTTAATGTATCATCAATTAATTTTAATGATGATTTCATTGTCATTGATGATGAAAGTAAACGAGAATTTATTGATTGTATATGTTGATCATGTTGAGTTTGTGTTAATAATGGTGTTGAAATTGTTGATGTTGTACGTGTTAAATTTATTGGTCCATTTGATCGATGAACAATAGGAGGAGTTGACGAATTCGATGGTGTATTAACTGATGTAATAGTGCTTGCTGGAATAGACGACGTTGAAACAGAAGTTGGTATTGGTGTAGAAGGACTTGGAACAGGTGGTGAAATATTAACGGGTGCTTTATTTGATGATAAAATTATAGGTACTGATGGCTGTTGTACAACCACTTGCTGAAAAGATAAACAAAATTAATAACAAGATGAATAATATTCTATTATGATTCGAGTAAGATATATGATAAGTTTTACAATCTCGAAAAAATAAGTCGATCTATTATTAAGAAGTTTAACATTGTTATACATATGAAAAATTAAGAATACGGTAAATCCAATCGCCGGGCTCAACAGGATCTAGTCGTAGTACGGTTAACCGGATTCGAACTCAAAAAGTTTGACTACAAAGGTCTATACTCTACAATTTAAGATTAACCGGAGGGATCTACGAGTCTTAACTTTTTGCAAAAGATTTTGATACGAAGTTTTATAGTAATATTCATCTAATAACGAAAAAATTGATCATATGGGATGGGGCCAATTCTTTTCTTTCAAAATATCCTTGATCGATCCTATTAATTCTTGCAGTAACAACGAACCTGAAAAGAACACGCTTATCAGAAATACATTAATACAAAAAAATTATTCATTTACTGTTTTTTTCTTTTTCAAAAAGAATTCTATAGTAAAGCTTATGAATATAAGTTATGTATATTATATCATTGGCTCTTCTTGTCTTTTGTTGAATTAATCAAGTATTTTATTAGCTAAACAATAGGTGAACATTTTTGCTTTTGAATTCAATTTCAAGGTATCATCAAGACAGTGTCAATTTAGTAGGATACGAAAAAGCGACCTTGATGATACTGAAGTTCATCGGATCCGAAAATTTTTGAATTCAGATTCGATATACTGTGGCATAGATAAGACTAAATATCTATGCAAAACAAAAATTTACTGATTGTTTAAAATGTTACTCATTGCTCATTTTATTACGGTACAATACTTGAATAGTATGAAAAATTAGAGTAAAATTCGTAAATTCTTTTCAAATAGAAAATGAAATTCCTATACAAAAATATTGTTCATTTATTAAAGTCTGTCTCAGTAAATAATAGGTGTTAATTTAAATTAAGAAAAAGATATGTTTCAATCAAAGACGAATTTATTAAAATAGAAAATTTCATTCTAAAGAAACATTCAATATAAAATTCTTTGTATCAATTTATTTATAAATAAATTACTCTAAATTAAACGGTTGTCAATTTTTATCTGATCGACTTATGAAAATAAACTTTTATATACTTTGTAGCTTGTGGGTTTTGTTTGTTGTTGTTGCACATTAGCTGAAATATTTTCTTTTGCTTGATTATCATCTTTATTTATAATCGTTGTTCCAGATGGATCACCACGTTTTAAAATAGCAACTGGTTTAAATTCTTGTTTAGGTGTCAATTGTTGTTGTTGATAATGATGACGTTGTTGACCGTTATTATTATCATTATTTTTATTATTATATTTCTGTCTGGCTACGAAGCCATTTTGTCTCTGTTGATATTGTTGATTCATCCGCATGACCATAGAAAATTAATTGAAAGCATTCTTTTTTTTTTTTTTCCAACAAAAAATCTTTCAAAATAAAAAACATACACACTTATATACACGCGCAGTCAAAGAAGATTGTGCAAGTATATATATGAAGGAAAAAAAAAAAAACACACAATAGACAGGCAGACAGGTAGATAGCCTATATGTGATGATTGTTTTGATTAGATTTAGAATATATTATAACCAATCAAAATATATATTTGTTTATTTTAATAATAAATAAAATTTTTTTTCAAAATTTCCTCAATGGAATTATGAAGAAAATTTTCGATAGATGTCGTTAATTAGATTTTTTTTATTTGACAGCCAAATGTATTGATGATTCATCGAGTTTATGTTTTGTTCTCTTTTATGCATGGAAAAAGAAAATTTATTTTTTTTATAATTTAAATATTATATTATTCCAAAAATATAATTTTTTTCATTTGATATATATGGATAAAAGTACTAATTTTACCTAAGAATCTCTATATAATTGCATTTTGTACGATTAATAGGATGTATATACATAGAAAATTAGTATCTTTTAAAAAGAAATCGCATAGTCTATGTCAAGAGGTTTATATGGCTGTTTTCGGTTCTTCTCCAGATCGACGACACCCCATATATCAATTGGTCTAGTTGACAGAACATTTGAGATAGTGTCAATGAGGATGTCGCAGCCCTCTACTCAGAAGTAGGCGTTCACTGGGATGTCGGTCAAAAATTTTCCGTTAACCGAAGTCGGTCCCTAAAATTGTGAACCTAATCGGTTTTAGTCATTCGCAAAATGTGTAGGATGGGTACTTGTTCACTTTCGACACATCCCCTCACCCACACTCTTTGATGTGCGCGTGTTAAACACGCCAATTAGTGTACAAAGTGTGTTTAAAGTGAACAAGCACCTTCGGATCTCAAAAGTGTTCGATAAATCGAGTCGAATGAAATCTGACCATAGGACATTTCCGTTGATTATTAGTGTACAATTGTTTCTATTATATCATAATAATCTTTTATGATTTTATTATGTTGTTTGTTTTTCATATATGATAATGAATGTTTTTCTCTAGATAAAATGTCTTCAGATCTTGAACTTGATCAATTTAATGATAATCATATTGGAATTGATGATGTGGATATAAATTCAAATATACAAAATAATAATCAAAATCAAGCTGAAAAACGTGCACATCATAATGCACTTGAAAGAAAAAGACGTGATCATATTAAAGGTAGTTTCAATGATTTACGAGACGTCATTCCATTATTGAAAGGTGAAAAGGTATAAAGTAAACTGTTGAAAATGACAAACAAAAACAAACATTGAAATTTTTTAAGGCATCACGTGCTCATATTCTTAAGTCTGCTACTGAATATATTCAAACATTAAAAACTAAAAGTCAACAACATCAAAAATTAATTGAAGATCTTAAACGACAAAATGCAATACTTGAATTTCAAAGTAAAATAAAATAAATTTTTGTTTTTAAAATAATATTTTTTCTCTTTAGCTCGTCTTGTTGAACGAGTAAAAGAAACTAGTTTATATGCACAAAATCATGAAAAAAATATTAAAATTGAACCAGAAATTCAAACAACACGTAATTTATTAAATTAACTCTTTAGTTGTTATCTGTTTTTTTTAACTATTTCATTCTTTTTGTTTGTTGTTCTTTTTTTTTTTATTGTGCCATGTATAGAAGTTGTGTTTTGTTTTTTTGAAAATTATTTTCTAGATGAATATTAATTTTAAAGAAGAACTTAAAACAACATTAACCAATTGTGAAGATCCATTTCGAGCTATAAAAGATATACAAGATGAAAATGGTATTGCATTAACACAAATTAGACCAGCTTTACCATTACTTGATTTACTTGAAGTTAAACGATTAGATTTTCATCTTGCTGTTCTTGATGATATGAAAGATAGATTAATAAAACGAATACAAGAATTAGCACAACGTGATGATAAAGAACAATTAGAAACTTTATTAGAAAAAAGTTTTGCAGTTATTAATTTAACACATGTTACACCAATTGTTATGGAAATTGTTAAACATATGCCAAAAATACCGGATAAGTATGTTATTTATTTTACTTACGAGAGAAGTTCTTTAAATGATAAATCACTTTTGAGTCGAGACTATTTGACTTAAATGAACTATGAATATCCAAAAGAGAGTTTATTTCTGAAGTTTTAAATAAATATCGTAGTAACAGAAAAAGAAAATTGATTTTCAATTTGAAACTTTACATAGAGATAGTCCTTGACCAGAATAACTTCTTTTTTTTTTGTAAATGTTTCAGGTCGAGTTACAGGAATTTTGACTCAGACTTAAATTGACTTTCTTAATCGCTGTCAAAAGTTGTTAGTACAATCCCTATAAGATTAAAATGTGAAACACGATACAGTTACTGTTGCTAGTCAAGGATATGGTTTTATTCTGTCTATCTTGAAATATATTTCTTCACTCTCCTTTTAGATTGTGTGTCATAAAAGTCTTATTTCTTTAATTAGTTACTACATTCCGTAGTGTTGAACAGGACGAACTTGTGCTCAGCACGATAGCATAGTGCTCAATTACGGATGGGAATATGAGTGAATGAACCTACATCCTCAGGTGTATACAAACATTTTCTTAAACAAAATTTACAAACGAAAAATTTCGACCACATTTTGTAACAAATAGCGGTGTAATCAGGAGATCGTACGTGATAGAACAGTGTTCGGTATTGATTACGTTTCGATTAATAAATATCATCAGACTAAATAAAGATTTAAACATAAAATAAAAAACATTTTTCATGATGTAGATATATTTTTCTTTCTTCATATAGATATGTCAAATATATAGTTGAACATGAACAAATTTATTCTCGTGCACCAATTGAATTAAAACGTTTAATATGGACAGATAATCATACATTATTTCAAANCAAATTTTCTAACCGATACTGTTCATCATTCAGGAATTTTGTCGATAAAAATTAACAGAGCAAGTACCAAAGACAATATGAGCAGTTATGGCTTAAATATTATAATATTAATGACAGATGTTGTTTGTGTCTTCATAGTACTTGAAAGATTTTTTGGCTTCTTCTACTATGATTTTGATTATGGATGAAATTCCATATATTGATAGCATAAGTCACATATAACAGTTAATGATCGTGTCATACTGAAGCTCATACACTATTATTTAACTTTTCTAAATTTTTCGAGCGATCACAAATAAGCACAACTACAAAGAAAATCACAGAACTAAAATCAACATTTCTGATATTGACTGTGAAAATATGTATCAACAATAAGTTAAAACAATGAAAATTTCATTTTAGACATCGTAATAGCTATGTCGAACATTCGCTGTAAAATGATCAATTGAATGTACTGTGTTAATAAATAGACTTTTTGAATTCGTAGTACTGTCTTTTTGACTAACCTAAACCCATTATGTTCAAGCAGAGAAAGCTGATTAAATTCTAATTATAGAAGCCTTCTGTTGAGTTCTTTTTCGATGCATGATTATTTTTTATTAGCAAAGTTTTCATTTCTTATCAACTGCAATGTTTTCTACGATGGAATAACTTTTTAAAAATGATTCATTATTTTTATACCAGAGAATTATTTATCACAAAATATTGCTTCTTTTGACTCATTGATAATGTCTATTATTTTGAAATTTTAATGAATTGCCACCAATAAAAAGTCAGACTATTCAGTTTAAAATATAACATACAACTGTTCTTACTGTTAGTAATCAAGTATAAAAATATTTGGTAAATTTTTTTGGAGAAAAAGGATTAATTTAAATCAAAATTGCAAAATAGATAATATGAATTTAGTAATTACCATATTACTTATCAACTTATATTTATCATGGGAATAAACGTGACTTCACCTTATCTGCATTTCTCAGCATACACGGATGGGTGTGCTTTAAAGTAAAATGGGTTTCTGTATAAAGTGTTTTATTATTATAAATAATTTTTCAGAACACTACAATTCATGTCTTTCGATATGCATAAAGAACATGAACCATGGAAAACATTTACATTGAGTTTTGAAGAGTAATCGAAAATAATTTTCTAAATATTGATATTTTTATACTAATCTCATGACTGTAAGGAAAAAGAATATAAAATAATAATTGAACTACTTTCTGATCTAAGTCATAATTTTTAATGAAAAACATGATGCATTAAGCACAAATCCCATATCGACATATTCGTGGGTTAATAATTTAGATATGTTGAAAGTATTAAATGAACTTCGTCAAGAACGAAACTTTGCCTAAATTTACAGATGAAAAATCTGATAACAAAGGTAAATTCATATAAAAGAAGAAATTTTTGTTACATTTTATGCGTTTTATATTTATAATTTGAAAATTGTGTAGAGCACAGACTTGAGGATAATAAAATCGCTGAAAACATCCGACATCTTTGGTTAAAAAGAACGAGAAAAATGTCCTCAGATTGGTATTATTTTACTTTATCTCGGAGCATCGGACGAAATACAAGTCTGATTTTCCTAAAACTTATTTCTATTTATTAATATCTATTGCTATGTAGGTTCTTCTCATAATACATAATAAAAAGCATGTAGATGATACGAACTTCCTAAAAGAAAAATAGACTTCGGTGAAACCATCTTGCAATGTGCAGCACATGAGGTAGATAAAAAGCTGTCATCTTCATTTTTTTTTTCATACATGGTTCTTATCATTTTTACAGGCTTCTGAAGAACTTGCTTTAGATAAAGATCATATATATAACCAAATAAAAGATCAAGATTCTATTAAGAAACATCTACGAGATGTTATCAATAAAGCATCAATAGAACATTATTATTTCATTGTCACAGTGAAATCCAAAAATACCAATTTCAATCTAAATAGAAGTGAAATCGATGTAAGAACTTTTCGTGTTCTTACTTAATTGAATAAATTGTCAGCACGTACTATGTTTGCTTAATAGGATGTTAAATGGCGTAGTATTTATTATTTACCATGCAGTGAGCATTGTCAAGTAGGAGTGAACCATTATATTTAACGGGGCTTAGTTAACAACATTAATTAAGTGGTTTCACTTAACACTTACCTTTTGGTTACGGATTTTTTTTACTGACAAAAAAGTTTTGGTTTTTTTGTCAAAAAGCTTGAAAAAAATTGTATATAAGCATGCTAGTACTACACCACGATGCAGTGATTCTGGTAGTACGAGAGCACTTCTATGACCTGACTAAGTTATACAGTTTTGCAGACTAATCTTATTCTACTTTACCTTGTGGTGGCTTAGAATACAAGCGGAGTAGATTAGGATATGGCTTGTGTACAACTATTGGAGTAACTACCGCAGTAACATTTGAGGCGATACTTCAAGGGTGAAGCTGTTTATATCAGAAGTAAACGACTTCTTCTTTATGTGTGAAGACATTTCCCCTTAGAGGGGTTCTGTAGCGCACTATAATACGCCTTAGAATTGGCAAGTTTTGGTTACGCCGCTAAATACAACCCCTGTAGAGATAGGCTAGGTGAAGAATAGAGCATGAAACGTCATGCTCTTGCAGAACTCTACTAACACGAAAAAGTCAGAAATGAAACAAAAGTAGTCAGAGGAGAAGCTCAGCCGCATATATGCGGACCCCGTAACCAAAGGGTTAATATTAAGAGTTAAGTTTCTCTCCATAACACGTAATACTTAATACTAAGTGTTAAGTGAAAACACTTAATTACTGTTGTTAATTAAGTCCAATTAAGTGACATTTTTCATCAATAATTCTGATAACACCTTTAAAAAGTTCTTAACCAATCTTCGTTTGCTACAGAACTAAAAAAGGGTTAAAAACAAAAAACAATTTAAAATTATACTGCCATGTTGATATATTCAGATAATGGAAAAATCGCTCAATATACACATGTATGATTCAAATCTCAACTAAAAGTTGGTTTGAATTGGATCGCCAATTCTCACAGAATTCGATCGAGCTTTCTAAAGCAATATTTCAAAGTGTTTGAGATCATCATTTCAACTATTGCAGCTGAACCAGGTCATAAACTGAGCTTTCATGAGTTGATGAACATGACGGCTCATAAGAGTTGGAACTGAGCCGCATACTCTTTTTATGCATACCTCTCGGTTTATTACCTAATAGAAAATCATGATAAAGTCGTCAGGATAAAAGCAATGTGTAGGAAAATGATTTGTTTGATCACAATAGCCTTATGCCAAACCCTATAGGAAATCAGTATTTTCTAGAAGCAGCTTTTCAACAAAGAATGCTCGAAAATAAAAGTAGAACTTATCTCACGCTACTTGCTTGCTCATGTAAGCGTTCTGTTTTGAATGAAATGTTGAGCAAAAAGACTTGGAGTCGCTGTTTTATCAAGGATTTTGTTTACAAGTAATATGAAATTATTGAGTAACAGCCCCCGCTAGTCTATTTTCTACCTAGTATTTAAATGCAGTTGAAGTTCTGAAGGTTCCTTTTCTTTGGATTGACTCGCGTTACTAACAAACGTCATGTTTGAACATTTTGACCAAGTAGTCTTCTAAAGCCATAGAGAAAATCTCTAGATAGGCCTTAAAAGGTTATAGAGATTAGACTCTTCATAAATAAACTTTCTCACATGAAAAATCGGAATATATTAGTTTTCTTCATGACAATCACTTAATCATTTAGTATTAATGCATTAAGTGTTAAGTCTTCACTAAATTTTAATATTAAGTGATTAAGTGATATAGCGAAAAACTTAACATTTAATATTAAATGTGGGTGTGGGATGTGGGGTGTGGGTGGGTGTGGTTGTGCATGTGCTTGTGGGTGTGTGAGTGTGGGTATGGGCATGTGTGTGGGAATGCTTGTGGATGTGTAAGTGTGGGTGTGGGTGCAGCTTTTCTATCCATCCACGCCCACACCCACACCCTATTCTTCTTGCTGCAGCTTATCCTAATTTATATGGAATTAGTTTGTATAATATTGAAGCAGAAACAGCTATAAGTCTTTTTACCGGTAAGATATTTAACTTTGATTCTTTCAGTAATAGATATTAAAACTAGAACTCAAGAAAATTCATGAATAAATTTCATAAGCTGAAACTAATTTCGTATTTGTCGATATAATGTGAAGAAAGTTGTCACCAAAGAGATCATTTTTCATGAAACATAAGTATTTATATAAAAATAAAAAGCTTAGATATTAGTCTCCAATTCCAACTTATACAAGATTTTGAAAAAGAAAATGTAGAATAATATTGATAAGAATTAATGACAGCGACAGAATATAATGAATTAAGTAAGTCCAAAGAAGAAAATCAAATATGTAAATTATAGCATTAGGAAAAAACAATGAATAAAGCATACATACTTAGAGTTAAGCAATCACATAAAATCTAATAAAATATTTTTTTTAATAATTTTTTAATCTTTTCATAGTTCAGATGAAACTTCGATAATTCGTATCTTGAAAAACCAAATTTCAGCACTTATTATTGTCATTAGTACAAATGAAACACAAAGGTTTTCCGTTGATGGCAAATGCAATTATATTTACACATATCTTTACTATGTTCAGTAATTTACAATATTTAAATTTTTGCCCATCTTCGCTTGATCAACAACAATTATCATTTCGTACTCCACCTCTAACTGCTATCTCTACAAATTTGTTAAAATTATATGTCTATTTGGATGTTTTTATTGATTGTCTTTATTTACTTGATGGTCGTTTCAATCAACTTCATACACTTTATGCTAATGTTTTCGCTATTGTCTCTTCGAGTCTATGAATCAATAATAAGGTAGATTATTTTTCATTTATATGTAATTTATTTAAATATGAATGAATAATATATTTTTTTCTAGGAAAAACTACCTGCTCTAAAGTGCTTTTCGCTACACTGTCATATATCAACATGTGCTTATGATGAATTGATTTTACCATTTTTACATCGAATGATGAATTTAGAAAAACTTGATTAGTGTCTTATTGTTCATGGAAGAAAAACATTTGTTGATGGTAATGATTTAAAGATAAACATTGTTAATCGTATGCCAAGATTATTACAAATTCACATTTAATATTCATTCATTAAGTCGTTTTTATAATGAAGTTAATTTACCATCAAATGAATATATTCAAGAGACATTCAGAGATTTTAAAGATAAACTAATTATCTATTATGCTGATTATTTTCCAAAAAACAAAAGAAGATCGTTGCCATATTTATTCATATCCATATAAACTACAACATTACTATGATATAACAAATAATTTTCCAGGTAGAATATTTAAATGTGTTCGTAAAGTGTCATTATTTGATGAACATCCTTTTGAACATGAAATTTTTCTTCGAATTGCTCAATCATTTACATTGATGGAAGAATTTGCTGTAGTTAATCAAACGCGACAAATTAATAAATGATTTAGAAAAGCAGAGAATGAAAATCGAGATTTATCAATCATTCAATTCCCTTATCTGAAACGTCTTAATCTTCTTGATACTTGCATAGATTATCATGAACAATTCTTATTCGATACCAAAATGTGTTTACTATTTCATGTTCATGTGTATATGAATTATAAAATAGTGAGAAAAGTGACACGCAATTTTAGAAGAAATTCAACACGAAGTAATTATGAGAAAATGAATTACGTCTATTTATCTAGAGAACTTGAACTTCATGGGTCTTTAAACGACTTTTTTCGTGCAAAGCTACAATTTTCTGAACATATGAAAGACGATTTTCTTCATGCGAAAATAAGGTGATTATTATTAATTTGTCATATAAATAAACCATGAACAAATGTAGATTGATTCGCATAAAATTAAAGTGTTGAAACAGATGGAAATGACAGAATAATGGTGAAAAATAGACATTGGCGAACATATTGTTACAAATGAAAATATGCTATCTGTTTATACAAAATAATTTTGACGACAGACTAACAAACCGTGATCTATCCTTAGAAATTAACAATTTGCGCAATTGACATTAGATGAACTCGAATATTTTTTTTTATCTACAAATACTTATGATCAGAACTAACAGGGAAGAATCTGTTTAAGTAATTGTTACGATTAGAAGAACAAAATCAAGATTAAAATGTCTGACATTTTCCTCTTGTTACGCAATATGATTCATCACAATCAATATTATCCTATTATTATAAAATATATTTTTTAATCTAATCTAACTCTTATTAATAAGATTATAGGGTAGTTTGTCGTTTGATCATCCATATGATGACATCATTTCTTGTCATAAGTATATTATTTTATCATAATATATTCTTTCGATTTAGTTTCTCGAATATAAAGTTGCTATTATTTTATGTTAAAAAAATCACATGCAAAAATAAAGATGCTCAATACATTTAGACAGATCAGTTATTTGTAGCTGTATGAGGAAAGTCAAAATCATGAATGAACAGATAGTAATGATGTATGTCCATCAGACAGCCTTCGAAACTATTGAGAACGACACCAATACAAGGCTTTTTCTTTACAATTTATATCATTTTAAATTGGATTTTGAAATTGTGTTCATTACTATTGATTACTATATTTTGTTCTATTTGACTATCCACTCATTCCTTCGATGCCTTTCACGCACATATCGTCATTATGTCGCATACTGACACTAAGAGGATAACGAAAGTAAGTCAATAATCACCGTTATTTTTTCTGCTAAGAAGAAAATTCTGGTCTTATACACCATTTGTAGACATTTATTTTTGCCTTATCTTGATGAGTTTATTTCTTTATTAATATGAAAAGATATTAAAACAAATTTTGAGAATATTCTCAAATTGTTATATAAAAGAATTCGAGTGAATGTCATTCTCCGTACTTTTACACCGAATAAAATAAGCAAGAATATTATCAACAATCAATTTCAGTCTGGCAAAATTTTGTCAGAAATTTGCATCAAAAGAAAAATATCGAATAACTTGGATAAATAGCAGCATTTTAGATTTATTCGAAACTATTGTTAATTATTCTTCTTCATTTAATGTCATTAAAGAACATTTTATCTCATAGAGAACATAAGTAAATAGGTGATCTATCTTAAGAAATAGAAATATTTATTAGAAGAATTTTCAATTGGAATAGATATCTTCATTTATGTTATGTTTAATTCCAAAATCATGCAAAACTCATCATGAATTATCAAATTCATTCAATTCGAAGATCATTTATCTCATCCATGGATGAACAATTTCAGTTCAACAATCAATTAAACAAATCTTTTTCTAGTCAACTTTCACATGAAATATTTATTTGTCAAATAAGATACACAAAATTTTAATTAACTAATATGTAAAATATTTTATTCAAATTGAATCAATTTATTTCTGCTGGTTTGATCGATGTGCACTTGTACAACATCGACAACAAAGTTATAATGCAATAAAAACATAAATAATAATTAAATAAGGAAAAGTAAATTGATATAATGTCCAAACATTACCAACAATTAACCACATTATGAAAAATATTTGTTCAACAATTTTTACAATACTTAAAACAGCAACACAAATAATTGATATTATTATCGTGTATATGCAAAAAAACATTGTTATTAATAGGAGAATAATTGTTACAATAATCCATACAAGTTAAACAGACTCACCAAGAATTAAAAACGACTTATACGACGTTCAATTAGACAATATAATGGATCACGATAGCGAACATCAGTAACAATCATACTGATTGAATTGGCTAACATTGATATGCGAATTAGTAAACCAAATATCGATGCTACTGTAGTACCAGAAACATCAATACGAACTCATGGATAAGATGGTTCAATATCAGTAGAACAACGTGAACTATTCAATAGATTCTTTTTGTTCTATTTTATTCAATTTTAATAGTATATTAACTAACTTGATGTCTTTTGCACTTTCCTTGTTTTGAAAATGAAAGGACGAGGAAAAAAAAAGAATATATCGATCAATTCAAATAATGTATACCTTTCATTCAAAAGATGAAGATTAAACATGATATACTACTATATCCAATAGTTATAAGAAAAAAGAAGTCCTTTTAATGTAATATATGCAACGATAGAATATGTTCTTCTTACGTTATAACAAGTAATTTTTTTCTTTTATCATATCGAATATAGCTGGTTAAGATCACTATTGAAATTTATTCACACTTAGATTGAAGCGTGTTATAATTATTACGAAGTTTTTGTTGATGTAACACATGCTATGTTTATTAAGAAATGAAATATCGATGCCGAAGCTAATTTTTATATCGTAAAGCTTTTTATTTTAGGTGTGGTGTTGATTTCATTTTGCGTTCACTCCACCCACCCACTCTAGCGGCTCTCGTGATCCTTTTTTTTAAAATTCTTACTTTTTAAGCGAAGAAAAGAAATGACAAGTTCAATGCCTCAAAAAACCACCTAAAAACTTGCGCTGTTTGTATAGAGGTGCTTTCTTATCTGATAATAAAAGAGCTTATTTTAAAGAAGGAGAACGAGAGTCGTTAGCCCCGAACACGACGTTCAAACAAAAAAGAAGCTATTGGCTATAATGAAGCTTCTTTGAGAATTCTTGGAGATACAATCGAAAACCTATAAAACGAGAAAAAAATGAAAAACGTTTTTCGTGTTTTTTTCAAAAACAGCTTATTTTTCGAATAGGGTGACGAAAATCTTCAACAATTTTTGGAAAAAACGGAGTGCCGAGTAAAAATTTTTGTCGTTTATGAGAGATTAAATCATGGGCTATCTTTCTCTACATTTATCTTAAATTCGATCATTCTGACGAAAAGTGACTGTTTTTGAGGGAGCGTTCAAGAACATACTATCATATTATTAATAGAATATATAAGTGGTTTGAATTGTGTAACAGATGTTTATATTTACTTTTCCGATGAACTTTGGGGACACCCTATTTATGCCAAACTTGAAATTTGAATTCAAACGAAAGGGTTTCCATTCAACTGAATGAGCTTCATCTAGAATGAAGGAGTTCCTCCCTCCCTCCCCCTCCTGCATACACAGATGGTACCTCTCTCGGTGAGAGTGTAACGGAAATATAGACTCAGAAGATATTCCTTGTTGAATTTAAACTTGAATCTTTGGGCTAAAACTTCTTCAATTAAATTGAAACTTCACTTGAAGTATAGTTATTCAACTGAATTCAACTTTCAAGTTTGATACTACTAAGATAATGAGCTTGAAAATAAAAAAACGTAATCTCGCTTCAAGACAAAACATAGTTGCTGTTCTGAAAAACTTGAATTTCACAATTAAAAACGAAAAATACACGTTTATACATAAGAATACATAGAAGAAGAATATAAAATTAGATTGTTGTTGTTTATCTTGGGCGGTCTTCAAAAGTAAGTAATTTTGTTGACTACTTTCTGATCTTGTAATTTAATACTACCGTTCCGTTCTTCCGTATCGACGGTCACGCCTTCGAGAACAATGTCATTATCATTATCATGAATAATTTCACTTGGCCACTTTTTACCACAGGCTGGCACTGAACTTAGTTTGCACAGTCCATAGTACACTAATGAAGAAACAATAAATCCCAGATAGAAATTTAAATGGTACATATTCTGCGCTGCAGTTGAGACATGTGCTCCTACTGCACCAGCAAATCCAACCACATTGATAAGAATTCCCGCGATATATGCAACATATGCTCGCCAATTCACACCTGCTGTAAAGTAGTAGACACCTTGTTTTGACCCTGAATACAGTTCTTCAATTTCTAGGTAACCTTTGCGTACAAAATAATAGTCTGATATCATAACACCGGCAATCGATGAGAGAAAAGTGGAGTATGCAGACAGATAGGTTGTAAACGTTGAAGAGCTGGTGAGGAAATTCCACGGGCAGATGACTAAGCCGACTATTGCACAAATATAGCTAGATCGTCTGATATTGAGAAACTTTGGCAAAAGTGCCGTTAGATCAGACCCTGCTGATACAGAGTTTGCTGCAATATTAACACCGAGCTGAGCTAGTGCAAATGCTAATGAGATAAAGAAGACACCTGCACGTGTTCCAGCTGACGGCTGACTGTCGAGGAATTTGCCTAGGAGATCAAGTGGATTCCAAATAGTTTGACCGAAGATCACATTTGATGACGAGCCAACGATTACGCCAATGAAAGACGTAACTGAGAAACCGATTGGAATAGTTAATAATTGTGGCCAGAAAGCCGCTGAAGGATGTGGAGCAAAGCGAGTAAAATCTGGGTTATTAACAATGAGTGTGACAAAATTTGAAATACAACTCATAATTCCACTCATCCAAGACCAACCACGTAGACTACCTGTGAAATAGGCGGACACCGACATAATATAGGAGCCGACTATCGTTTTACATAATATTGTCCACTGATATTTTATCGGACATGAGAATCAAGAAAAATAGTTTCTGAGAATTTGGTAACCTTTATTTGAAATTTTATGACAATATCATTGTTCTCACTTTTTTGGTAGATTTTCTGCTTACACAAAAGACGTTTTTCAGAGTATAGGTAAGTGGATCTTGTGAAAATCCTCTAGTAGTAGGCTGAATAGAGGAGTGAAAGTTTTATAAATATAGGATGTGTATGATATCACACAATTAATTTTTCATCTACTTCTGCAACTTTTTACATTTTTTTTCTAAGACTTCGAAAATTTTCGTGGTTCTGCAACTCGAAGTTCTCTTTCTGGTATATTTGTATTAATCAGAATGATTTACTATTATTTCACCGACTCTTGTGAAATCGCTATGTTGCAAACATCTTTCTACGAAATCTTGTACGAGCACAAAATTTTGGTAACTAGCGGCATTTGTCTTATACAACGAATTTCATTTTCAGCTATTTCCGCGACATTTTGGTTCTCTATTTATGAGAGGTTCTTTTATCCCATTCCTGGGACGTGAGTTTTATAAATACAGGACTTTTCTCATATGAGACAATTGATTTCTTAGTTTTTCCGCGATATTTTAAGCAACCGTTTCAATATAAACAAAACTACAGAGCAGAAACATAAACCCTATGATCCAAAATGAAAGATTAGCCGGAACTGGTGATTTCTCCATTTTTTCTTACAGCATAAATCCTGTGATGACTTGAATCAAAAGGCATTTTTTGCAGAAAATGTGATTTTACCTTCTTGATTAAAATGTTTTGTGTGTGGTCAAAATAAAAAAAAAGCTGCCAAAATAGTACTATTTTTAGTGCTTCCCTTACTCACGCTTCTTCACAAGTGAACCGAATGAATCACTCACAAGGTTGTTCGCTTGAAAAGATTTTTTTTGTTTGAGGGCGAGTCTAATCGCATTTGAGGTATGACCAGAAAATGAGCGTAGGAAAAACGACTTACTCTTAACGGATTAACACGCGTTTAGTTGCTTAAAAAACCTCAACTGATGCTTTTACAAGTGCATTAGCATATAAAGAGAGTTTGTCTGAGCGAGTTGTGGAAACAAACGCCGTTTATTGCCAACTGATAGTAGATTTGAAGTCTTATTGGAATTTCTGGCTTATAGCCCGACAGAAACCCCAAAAAATTAGAGAAAAATAGCTCCAACCAGGCAAAGGGGTAGACAAACTCGGGTTTTTTCTTACGATGTTAAACATTCTATGTTATAACAGCCAGGTGCTGATGTTTTTGGTTGGAAAAGACTCACAAAAAAGCACGATTTATGCTTATTTAATCAGTTTAACTGTGTCCATTGGAAAAAAGCAAAAAAAATATGCAAACCCAGGATAAGATATGTCAAAAAGACAGCAGAATCCCACTTCAAATGCGAATTATGCGTGCAGATAAACGAAGAAAAGCTTTCATTTGAGGTTTAGAGACCCCTCTTTTTCAAGCGCAATGAATATTATGAAATTTGAAATAAAGTTTACCGAATTTTCAGAATTTGTTGTTCTCGATTTTAATCAACTAACAAAATGTCACGAGATCGCAATTCCGATGTCATATCGTGTCCATGCATGCCTACCTGTGAGTGTGCCTGGTTGATGAACAACAGGACCAAAACCTTTCGCTTTCACCAAGGTCCAGATAAAGAATGCCACAGCTGCAACGGGTACGACTATTGATTTAACAGTGAAAAGAATTCGTATTTTTTGTACCGGAAACCAGATGGGAATCAGTGAAAGTGTCCAGAAAATAATAAAACCAACGAAGTCCCGTGTATTTGTACTAGATGACGCCGGTAGAGTGTTTGGTAGTGTTTTGTACGAAAGACCGATGGACCGAAAGATGAGTACAACACACTGTCCACCCAACCATGCTCCAACACCGTACCAGACACATGCCATAAAGCCTCGATTGAGAACAGGCCAAAATGAACCAAACAGGCCAAAGGATGATCGACTGACAACTGGAAATGAAATATGATATATTGCACCAATTCGCCCAGATAGACAGATGAAAAAGGCCACAATTGTATAGCCAATCCAAACACAAAGCCATGCTTCCCACCAGGACAATCCACCAAGGACCATATTTGAAATAATCATCCATGTACCAATATTAATTGAATCAGCAAGCCAAAATGCAACAAAATTCCAAGGTCCCCACAGACGTCGTGCGCATTCGACTGGTTTCAAATCTTCATTTTTTAAAAATGCTTCACGTCCAGATAAATCTTTAGCTAAATGATCTGCATAGAACCAACTAGGTAATTTCATGACTGTTTGTATTAGGGTGTCCAGAAAGTAACTGAACAAAAGAAAAAATCAAATATCTTCGTCATATTTTGACAAAATGGGCTCATATTTTTATCAATGATAAAAAAATGTTCATGGCTCATATTCATAAGAGAAACATTGTCAAAAATTGTTTTGAAGCATCTTTGCAACTGACTTTAACCAGGAACTATCACCTTTTACGAGTTATGAGAAAACAATATTTTTATTTCCTTCGCCAAGAACAAACGACACGTAATGTTTTTGAATAATTCTTCACAATAGTATTGCTTGGTCTCACATTTATACTACAAATACATGTCTTGTTATAATGTTTACCCTGAAAGTTTCAACTATAAACAGCAAGAACTTGTTGACAAAAATGTAATATTGGTTGCTCATAACTGACGAAAGACTACAGGTTTTTGTTTAAGTCAATTGTCCTACTTTGAAACAATTTTTGATAAGGTTTCTCTTATGAATATGAGGTATGAACATTCCTTCATCATTGATAACGACAGAAAACATAACACAGAATCAAACACTAAAGAGAACGAGAGCAGAAGAGTGGAAGAATAATGGTCACGACTATGACATCTTCTCCAACAACGAAGACGCGCAGCGTACATCGAATAAGCGGAGCGAGAGAAAAGAGACAAGCAGAAAGAAAGAACAAATATAAAGAGCACACCTTTTTTTAGAAAACAAAATATAACGTACGATGCAAAGGTAATGGTACAAATGTCGATCCCTATTTCTCTTCGATAAAAGGATGCTGAACGAAAACTTTTTTTCACCAAAAGATAGAACTTTTCTTCCTCTTTCGAAGCGTATAAAGCTTATTTTTATAAAACGTTTATAAACGAAACGACGCAATAGAAAAGAGAAGCATCCTTACAAAGAACCCACACTTTGCGTAAGATTCAGAAAAATGTTGCAAAATGTGGATCCCTATATCTCTTCAATAAATAGGTTCTGAAAAGAACAGTTTTATATCAGCTGATGAGAAACTTTCTTCTCTTTCAAACAGTATATGTTTTATATTTGTCATATATTCATAAATGAAATGACACAAGAGAAAAAGAGAAACCCTCACGCAATAAATTTGTAATTTTTATATGAAACGGTCAAAAACATCTTGTTAGACAGTAACTAATTCAATTTTTGTGGATCCATTAAAATGATCTTTTAAAATGGGGCTTACTTTGACTTTTATGAAATCGGTAAAAGCATCTTGTAAAACGACAGTTTATTACAATGTACTATCATTTACAAGATGTTTTGGATGAACTCATATAAAAATTACCAATTTATTGCACCAGTATTTTGACTTTTTCTTGTCTCGCTTCATTTATCAAAGTGTGACAAATATGATTCATACAGTATTCGAAATAGAAAAAAAGACTTTCTATCAACTGATAAAAGAAATATTCGTTTCAGAACTTGTTGATCGAAGAGATATAGGGATCAACATTTTATGCGGTCCTTTTATAGAAAAGTGCAGATTCTTTTTGAGGATGCTTCTCTTTTCTGTTATGTCGTTTTGTTTATGAACGTGTTATAAAAATAAGTTTTATACGTCTCAAATGATGAGAAAAGACTGTATCTTTTAGTAAGAAACAGTTTTCGTTTAGCATCCTTTTATCAAAAAACAATAGGGATCGACATTTGTGTCATTACTTTTGCATCATATGTTATTTCGTACTTTTGTGCCTAATGAACAAGGAATTCTGTCTAAGTTCAATTTTGTCTAAAGTTTAATTTTGCTTGTGACAGATGTTTGAAACTTATACAAAAGATTTATTTTAAATTAAATAGTTTTAGCTCATCGTTATAAGATTGAATAAAAGAATTTTATTATATATCGAAGTTGCATCTGTTGACGAAATTATAACTTCGTCGGATAAAATTGACGAAGTTACAACTTGAACAATTTTTCTTTGTCAAAGTTACTTCAATTTAACTAAATATCAATTAATTGATGATTTGAAGAATAAAATACATATTTATAGTTAATGTTTCATTTTGAATATAGATATACATATGTCATTTTTTACAAATATACACAGAAGAAATTATTCAGAAAAATCAAACATTACTTCTTATTAATGTTTATATGATTATGGATATGTTTTGATGACACTAATGTCTGCAACTAATGAACCAGAACTCCAGAATACTCTACTCTGATTTAAATTGTACACAGACATATAATTAGAATAGCTTTCACAATCTAATTTATTCTGGGATGTGTTGTACTTTTTCTTCTGAATCTTTATATTCATTTTGGCATGAAATGCAAGACTAAAAATGAAGATCTACGAAACACCTAGACGAAAGCAAAAACAAAGACAAGTGTAAGGTAAACAAACACTCCCAATAGCAAATTGTCTATTCTAGACTGTAGCTTTTTTCTAGTACAGTCCAAATATTATATAAACTTGATAAAATAGATTTGGATGTTTGAATATTTACAATAAATCTTTGTAGCATCTTGTTGATCATTTTCCAAAGCTACAAGATGCTTTTACTGCTTTATCTACTGTCATTCTTATGTTTGTCTCACATGTTCTTCTTCGAGATTGGCTTCTCTGACATAATTTATATTGAACTGAAACGTAGCATTCAAAAATTCAGTTAAATGAAGTCTCTGTTTGATTCAGTGTAATTCAAACTTTGATAGGCATTTAAATTGTCTTTATATGTAGTATTTTTCTTATTAATATAAAACTAAACTACAATTTAAATCAGAGCATAATATTCTGGAGTTCTGGTTCATTAGTTGCAAACATTAGTGTCTTCAAAATAGATCTATAGTTATATAAAACATTATTAAAAAGTAATGTTTGATTTTTTTGAATGATTTCTTCTATATATCTTCATAAAAAATGACATATGTATACCTATATTCAAAACGAAAAATTAATTATAAGAATCTATTTTATTTTTCAAATCATCAATTAATTGATAATTATTTATAATTTCGTCAAAAGGTGTAACTTCGAAATGACATGTTTATATTAACATGACCAGACGAAGAAAAGAAAAGACAGAATAACAAAGAATAAAGAATAAACAACGATAATAATAAAGGTACATAGAGAAGAAAAAGAATAGAGGAAGAAATAGATAAAAGGCAAGGTGACGATTACGACTTACCGCTAACATTCTTCTGCTCTCCATGAGATGTGTATTCCACACACATGTGTATTATATTCATCAATTTCTTTTTCCGAAGATTTGTATTTGATTTGTCGATCGTCTCTTCTAATTCAATTTGTTCATCTGCTAATGATGGTGTAAGTTCATATTGATCTAATTGATGACATTTAGGAACATATTGCGCTCGAATTTTACAATTATTAAAATCATCTTGAAGTGTACCGTAATTTTGTTTAGCCATATTTTTTCCAATTAATTGTTGATTTTCATTTTGTGATATTTTTCTTGAATATTTTCAGTTGCATCAGCTGTTTGTTTCTTTTTTAATTTTATCATTTGAATTATTAATAATTTGATGATGATCAATAGCTATTGTCTATTTTTGTTCATCATTGTCAATTGATTATTTTAATTCAACGTCTTGAGTACGAATTTTATTTAATTCGAATTCTTGTTTCAGATTTACAATTGTGTGTTGCAATTGAAGTTTTCTTGATCAACTGTTTTATCATTTGTTTATAATTGTTGTTTTAAATCATGAATATTTTGAATTCATTAGAATCTTTCTTTTTCTATATTTGTTATCATATCCATTAATAAATTAATTTATTTTTTCTTCTTTAATATCAGAAATGGGCAAGTCAGAGATTTTTAAGATTCAAATTAAGTCAAGTCATAGAGTGTTCAAGTCAAAAAATGACTTGACTTCCCCATCTTTGTTTAATATCATGAAATTTAATTTTCAATTCTTCACATTCAATATTTAATAAATTTAATTGTTTTTCATGTTAATCAATTTGTTTATTTTTCTAAAATAAAATTATTTTTTTTGTTTGAAATCATTTTGTAATTGTTGTAAATATCGATTTTAAGGTAACATAATAATATGAACAAATGCATTCATAACTTGTTCCTAAAAAACAGTTGAATATTTAATATCATCATTGATTTAAGGATGTGGGTAGGAAGAAAAAAATATACACACCTACACTCCACACCCACACCCTAGCCTTTGATTTAACTTAAACTGTCAGTACTAAATGCCACTTGACATCATTACAGTTAATACTAAAGTAGATTTGATGGAAACACTTGAGCTCATAAGCATAAAACACTATATCATATGTTACAGGATGCAGTGAAGTGACACATTCACAAGTTAGTTTACAAAAAGATCCGTATGAAATGATGGAAATCGGGATATGCAACACGTCACCATCTTAAAATCAAAGGATACCATTTAACATTGATTATCAAAGTTTCAAGTAAAACTTTAACTTCAAAGAATTCACCAAAATATTTTAAATCTAATAACACTTCTAATAAGAATCGATCAGTACACTGAAAATCTTACCTTTCTTTTAGTCAGGTCAGAAACCTAGGCCCAGTTCAGTCTGCAGACCAGACCAGGTTGACACCTCTGATACAACTAAACCAAGGTTTCATAGAAGGAGCACAGGTCCAAATAGATGTACTCATTTCACAGAAATATTTCATCAAACAACAACTGCACAAACAATTGCGACTCTAACAGCAAAACAAGCATTTAGAAACCATATTCAAGTACATTTGTACTAAATATCTTGTGTATTATTAACATTTTTCGTTATTGGTTTTTTAAGATAAATTCCAATGACAATTGATGTGATCTCGTAGGAATTAGTGAAGTAACTAGAAAGACATAAAGTATAAGCTCAGTCTCTCTATAAATGTTTTTACTTTCTGTGAAACAATCGACTTATCTCCAACCATCATGTCATCAAAGAGTATTTATATAAAGAATGATCCAAGTTTTGAGGTCACTTGCTATATTGGTGTTATCTATCCTAAAGGGATATTTAATTAGTAGTTGAGTGAACTGCATGATTACGTAAAGAGAGATGAGAGTTGTCAGCTGAAATTATTTTTATCTAGCTTTCCTAATAAAAAAAAAAAAAATATTTTGATATTATAGAAAGCTAGATATGCTTTTTTCCCTTACGAAATGTAAGGATTGCATTGGTTTTTTTAATTTTCTATAGATTTTCTTAAGGAAAAGAGTCAATGAACATTTTTTTAGTATCCATATTCTTATATTGAGCTTGTGAATTTTATCTAACCATTAAAAAATATCTAAATTAAATATAAAAGTTCGCTCAGTTTGTAATCCTTCGTATATAACAAAAATATTTTTATTTTAAAAAAATTGTAAGATGAAAATAACATGTCGTGATTAATAAAATGCCAATAGCTTTTTATGGCCTTCTGAACAAATTGAACTTTCTTGTCATGTGATGGCTCTGATACTTTTTTACAAAAAAAAAGTATAAATGAATACACTCATCATATATCTATGAATACCATATCTTGATGACTAATTTTCTCACATTATCGAAGAAACCATCGAGTTCTCCAATTGAATCTCTGCAAATATTTTTTTTTGTTCTAATCGAGAACTTTCTTTTCATTTCAACTCTAATCAAAAATAAAGTTTCATTCTCTTACCAGATTTCAAAACTAAAAGTTTGTTTCATTTTCACTTTCGTTCTGTTGTTTTTATATAGGAGCTTCTTCTAACAATATTATTTTTAGTGGTACAAGACGACAATTCTAAATAGCGTGTATGCTTATTCGAATAATCCAATATGAAAATGTTTTTTATAAATAATATTTACTACAACAACAAGTTTGTGTTCAATCTTGAATATGTATTTGAAAACAAGTATCCAATTGATAGAATTAAACAAAATCGATCAACTATTTGTTCATTCGTCATCATCTTCGTGGTAACACATTCATGTTCAATATGTGTGTCGGTTTCAGAAAAGAATGCAGATATAAAAGCATGAGTAATAGTTTGTCTTTTTTTCAAAATATGTTGCCGATCACATTATTCGATGATTTGTCTGACCTCGTAATAATTGAGTTATTCTCGTATTTGTCGTCTGTCGACATTCTTTGGGCATTCACTCGTATTAACTATCGATTAACAATGTTGATATCTAAACGAAGATTTTTTTCATCATGTTAACTTATCACTTGCAACTCATCATCAATTTAATATTATTCTTAATCTTCTTCCATTGAACGAAATTCAGTCACTTGTGATTGATAATGATGCATCTCCATTGCAATTATCTCACTGGTGTTATTTACCTCGTTTGAGAAGATTGAAAATTGTTGGTTCACGTAACCATGATGATATTTTAACTTTTGTAATACTTCATGCAGCAACACTCAATCATCTTACTTTATTTTTTTACATTATAAATCAACTGTGATATTTCTAAACATTGCAGAGATTCCAATGATGGAATTGGTTCGATTCTAAAAGAAAAATTAACTCACAAACCGATTTCATCTCTGAGAAATAATTTATTGAATAACTTTTACGTAAACTTTCAATTTAAACTTAAGTAATATTGAATTTCCTGCAATATGAAATATTAGAGTAAAAGAATTTCTATTTCTGTCAAGCATACTCTAGAAGTTAGTAGGGATTTTTTTAATCAACTGGATATTTATATATGCAACCATAAATTGTTTCGAGAAAGTTCTGCAGTATTGAACAACAATATAAGAGCAACGTATTTATAGTTTTTTTCTCTACCATATCAAGCGTTTAACTCAAATTCAAAACCGTGCTTTGAATATCCAATGAATTTCTTTATTAAATGTATTTCATACAGAAATTTCATAGATAATCTATTAGTGAGAGGTTTCTGAAAAATCACATAAGATAGTTTTCAGACTCGAAAATACTTTGTGAAAATTTCACATAATCTTGTCTTAATAAGTTATAGACCTGACAGAAGAGAAAAAGAAATGCATTTTTTAACAATACTACAATGGGTTTCATATTTTGTTTGGCTTATAACTTTTTAAGGCAACGTCATATGAAATGTGGCAACTCTTCATTTTACTTAGAATTCAATACTCTTGAAAAATAATTTTCACAAAGTATTTTCAGATCCGAAAAACTATCTTATGTGATTTTTCAGAAATCTCTCACTAATCGATCATCTACGGAATCTTTGTATGAAATACATTTAATAAAGAAATTCATTGGGTATTCAAAGCACTGTTTTGAATTTGAGTTAAATGTTTGATATCGTAGAGAAAAAAGAACAACAATACGTTGCTCTTACTATGTAATTATAAATCTGCCACTTTTCAAGAGAAATTTAACCACGTTCGTTTTAAGTGCTTCTATGGAATAAACTAGTGTTAGTCATCATCCATAATTCAATGATTTTTGCATATTGCTTTTTTTGCTTTTACAGGATGGTTATTCAATTGACTTTCAATACCCAAAAGGCTGCATAATGAAGCTAATACATAATATAGTTCTTGCTCGTTTACCTGAACTTCAATCATTGGATTTAGGCATGGGCTATCATTGGATGGGGAATGGCCAATTAGCACTGTACATGCTCCTCTCACTTATTTACGTGTGGCATTATGTGAACTTTCTTCTTTGATTCATATTATGTCGACCCTACCATTGTCTAATACATTACGTCAGTTACATGTTAAAATTGCTGATTGTGACTATAGCAAATATGTTACTGAACCAATAACTGATCTTCTGGTTAAGATGACTAATTTACACACATTGACATTTGTTGACATATTTTTCGCATTATCAAGAATTGAATGGACATTTTTCGAAATGCTAACATCATCCAATACGATGCCCGTACTCCAACGTGCTAATATATGTCTTATTATGAATGTCAATGATTTAAATTGTATTGCTCCATCACCAATTTTCAACGATGATCGTCATGCCGATATTAATTTCGCTTTTAGTATTATCGATTGTCCTGCATATCTCCAAATGACTCAGTATATACCACGCGGTAGCCACTGTCATCCACGCGAACTAATTGGTGCGACATGCGTCATTAAATACGAAGATAAGAGCACACAATCGACGTATGATGCTGATCCTTATGTAAGATATTCTGCATCTATATTCATATTTATTTCATTGTATACTAATTGTAACTGAGAATAACTTGTTATTTGTTTTTCTAGTGCCATGGACAGGAATATCATCAACATATATGGTATACTCTTCCATGGGCTTTCGATGAATTTTTTCAGTAATTTCTTCCTGACAAATCCATTTTTAAGGCAGAAGTGTTTGAATTTCCTTACCAAAAAAAATTCTATGATTGCTCGAGCAAATCTGCGTATAGTGGAAGCGTTAGGACGAAAGGTAGCAGCACCATTATTTTTCTTACCTAATGTTGTACAAGTTGATCGCATCAATACACTGCGCGTATCTTATTATAATGGATCTATTCGACTACCTTTACCTAATCCTCATCAAATAACATTTTTGAATAGTCAAAAGTGTCTAAACCACGCTTCTTCATTGTCAACAAGTGTTTGCTCAATCCGTCTTCTACCTCTCAATCATCATAATAATAATCAATATACACGCTGGTTCGAAATATTGCATTCACTTTCAACTCTGCCAAACTTACATTCATTACGTATAACTATGTATCGTAGGCCAGCGATAGTTTATGATAATTGTTGTCCATTAATTGAAAAGATTACACTTCGAGTCACTGATTTTGGCTTTTACTTTCGAGAAAAGTATAACACTTTACGTTCTGGCGATCTGCCTATATTTCAACAGTATGCACAATTTATTAAACATTTATGTCATCGTATTCTTCTATTGTCTTCTGACAAACAATCTTGTTATTCAATTGAGGATGATCATTGCGGATTGACAATATGGTTTTGATTAATAAATAAAACTGACGAAAATGTATATTCTACATATTTAAAATATGATCAGATTTGTTTTGTAACAATATCGCTCATCATTTATCCTGTTCAATTTTGTTTTTTACTTGATATAAAAATAACCTGTCTCATATTCAATTCTAATTTTCAAACAATACTAATGGAACGATTTCATTTGTATGAAGAGATTAAGTCATGTATCGATTTAGCCAAATTTTATTTTTAAAAATCGTTATTCTCGAAACAGATGGGTATGGGTGCACATGAAAGGAACACCCACATCCTAGAAACATGACACAGTTTAATAGAGAATTTCTGTATGTTCAATGTATAATAATCGCGAAAATATTTCTTAAAATCGATGAAAATCAATAGGTGGAAATAATATTACCAGAATGTTTTTTCCATTTTGATGATTTTTCATTGGATATTGGTGTCTCGACCGAAAGCTAAAATACTTTTATCTTTCGAATATTTACTTGCATGTTTAGTTGTCGTACATAAATCGATATGACAGAATTTAGAGATATGAAGACATTGGAAGTTTCTGTTCGAAATGGTTTGTTGTGTAACGTATAAAGAACAAATTCATTACTATATTATTGAATCACGTTATAATGACGATTTCTTTTTTTTGAAATCTTTATTTTGTAAGGTTTGTTTAAAAACAATACATAATAATTGATTCTAAAGAAAAGATGTGCATTTGTTCGACAAGTCTTTGAACAACTTTTGTTTTCAATTACATAGATCGTAGGGTTAATGTTTATTTTTCAATCAAATTTTATTTTATTATAAATTGTTTTTAATATACTATTTCGATCAGTAAAAACTTCAATAATTTTATTATTAACATTGATGAACGAATGATTGATAATATTGAAATTTAGCACAAAAACTAAAACTCACGACAAGGGTTCCAAAAAGCATTAAGCAGTTGGATTGAATTCAAGCAATCTTGATTGTAGAGAATACAAAAAGATAAATTATGAATATTTTCAACAGGTGAAATTCGTTGAATTTCTTCCTCATCCTCTATAACTTTTCTTCAATGAAGGTTTTATGTTAATCTGATTGACATCTTTAAATAAAAGGATGATTTTTTATTTTGATTATTAAATGAAAAAGAGTATTTGATAAGCAAGAAAATACAAATTATTTCACTGAATAAAAATGCATATCTTCAAGGCTGATAAACTGTAAAAGCATGAAATATTAAATGAAGCATATCGATTGACGTCTGTTTCATCAATTTTTATATCAATTACCATAAAAAAAAATCCTTCAAAAGCATAAAGTTTCCCTTCGATCTTTTAGTTTACTTTATCGTTATCGAGCAAGGAATACGTAATGTCGGAAGTGTGGTTTAAAAGTGTATCAACAAATGATTTCATCTATTTTTTGACTAATTTATCTTTAATAAAATTAATTAATATGTTTCGTTTAGTTTTCTTTTCTATTATTTTTTATCGAATTTCTTAAACTTTAAAATAAAAACAACAAAAAGAAAGTAAAAAGTTTCGGTCATTTCATTGAAGGTATATGAAAAAATGTTTCAATTGCTTTTTCTTGTCATTTTGATCATCATACAATTGACCTATCTGTCACCAATATGCTCAATTAGAAGAGTAACAATTTAATAATAATAACAAAAGAATCATCAATAATGATTCTGTTCGTATCTTAAATGTATATGAAACATTTTTGTTTTTATAAAATATTGTAAAGATATTTATGAGTAGTATGAAACGTGTTTTTTCTTGTGATGTAGTTTAAAGTTCATTCGAATGAGATTCAAAATAACAAAAAATTTGGCATTTTGTATCAACTGAATCGAAGAAACAAACATTTAAATAAACTTTAACTAGAATTTCGCTGCTGAATTTTACTCAATAGTTATTTTTTGTCAAAAATAATAAAAACCAAACTCAAATGCGATATATACAATTTTGTCTTTGTTATTTACTGTTCTCCGGAAGCTCTCGAACTTCAAGATACTGACTGAGAACACTTTGAGTATGCTTCAGTTTACTTTTCTCATTCTTACTTTCTACAGAAAAATTTTTAGTATATCTTTTAGAAACAAAAACAGACATAAAAGCTCAAAACATTGAAGAAGATCATTACTGATGGCACACCCATTAATAATAATTCTTTGACATTCTGGTAATTGAATAAATCTTAGAATATTAGTTCTATTCCACTTGACTTAACTGTATTTATTCAGATCGGAAGCTGCAGGACATGCGTCAATGTTGGAAAGATCCTTACATTGTATACTGGAATTTTCGAGTTGGAAACAGCAGACTTGAAAAGACTTTAGAAAATCATGTTTTTTATTGAAAAAAAAAATTGCAATATGGAAAAAGAAATTTCAACATTTCATCGCTTTTAAAAAATTATATGTGCACCATTTCAATTTTCAAAACCTTTCATTGAACCCCTCTCCACTTTTTTCTCTGTGCCACATCTATTTATTACCGTCATACATGATTTTGTTCAACACGCGCTTATATATATATGCACGTGCGTGCTTCGTTTGTTCTGTTGTTCTCCAGTTCTCTTGACAGTTTCGTTTTTTCTGTCAATCGTGTCAAACTTTTTCCGAATGAATCAAACTTACTAACAAAACCATAGAATCTACAGTACTATCTAATGAATTAATGAAAACTCGTTTTTTTTTTGACATTTTAAATAGGCTACACCTTATTATAGTAATTTCTTTCTAAATTATGTATATGTGGCGACATCTTTTTTCTTCGACTTTTACGAATTTTTATTTTTTTTTAAATAATTTTTACATACTTTTCATTTAATTTCTGTTATTAAGAAAATATTTTTATAAAAATTGAACAATTAAAAAAAAAAATCTTTCTCATTCCTGTCTCATGCATGAATCAGAATAAACATTGCATCATGTTGTTTGATTTGTAGGAAATAAAGAAAATACCATCAGTTATATCGTACGATTTCATCATCATTTTTTACTTTATTTTTTGACAGATTTCATCATGATCCTAACTTAATATTGTCGCGACCTTCGTAGGCGCTTTAGCTTCGGCTAGCAAGCACGCTCTTTACGTGCTCATCACAACAATAGTAAGAAATAAAAAACAACATAAATTTGATTTTTAAAATATTATTTTCCTTATTTTTCTTTTAGCTTTTAATTATGGGAATCAAAATGGCGTCCGCCACATCTTCTTTCTTCTTCTTTTTCCTAAAATCTAAAAAAAAAGACGAAAATCATGCTATACGAACAATATCATCATCAAGATCTTTTGACGCCATCCATTGGCGACGATGGCGTCAATAAATTAAATTCTAGTTTAACATCACTTGATTTTTATTTACTTGATGACATCGATGTTTATCTATCTCCTATTCAATCCACAAAAGCAGTCCATAAAGATTTAATTGACGATAGTCTCAATGATAATAGTCAACATCAAGAAGAATTTTTCTCTAATTTTGATCTTGTTAATTTCAATGATTTTGAAGAAAATTCAGGTAGAAAAATAAAAATATTTTTATCTAATTAATAAAGTTAACTTTTCTCTTCAATAGACTTTCTTGCTGATTCAATATCAATAGACGAAATTGATATCGAAAAATGGATAAGTCAAGCATCTTTTCCATCTCCTCCCATGGATACAAATAGTTCTTCTCTATCAAATGTTGAAGATTCATCACCAATTGAATATACAATCAATCGAGATATGATTGTACCACCATCACCATCTCTATCATCAACGGATTCATCTCCAATATCATCAACAAAAAAATCAAAATTATCAGTTATTGAACGTAGATTACGAAAAAAAAACCAAAATAAAACAGCAGCAGAAAAATATCGAATTAAAAAAAAATCTGAACTTCATCAATTACTTGATCGACATTCAAAATTGAAAGATACAAATGGAGAATTAAAATTGGAATTAGAAAATTTAACATATCGTATTCAACAATTTAAACAATTATTTGCTGATTTAATTCAAATCAATTCATCGACATCAAATTAAATAAATATTCTTCTTTTGATGTTAACTATTATTATTATCAATACTATCGTTCTTTATTTCTCATCCATATTTACATATATATACATATATACAAATGCCTTCTTTTTCTTTTTCTTTTTTTTTGTTCTTCTTGTGTCGTGTTCATCTATTTACTCAATAAATGCTTCGATTTGTGTATACAGAAAAAAAAAGACAATTGTATCTTACATATATGGGGTTGTTTTATATTACGTCATCAGAGAGGAGGGCGCCTAAGGTATAATGATGTCATCGTTGAAAAAAATATTCTAAATTTACACGTCGAACTATGTGATGAAAACAATATTTGAGAGATATTTTTTTTCTTTCTTTCTCATACACGTTACCGCCTACACGCACGAAAAGAAAAAAAGTATCACGAATCTCTGAGGCAACTATCCTATTTCGATTCGATCGGGTCCGAATATTTTGAGCGTATAAAAGTAAACTTATAAATTTTTTTGTACCTTTTTGAACTTTAGTGTTCAAAGAGATCAAGATCCTAAATAGACTCTCGGTTTGTATCAATATTTTTTCAGTATATTTTAAAGTGTAGAATTGATAGTTCCTTTAGATGATGTTAAAGGATTTCTCTTTAACTTTTTCGGGTCATTGAAAGTTCTAAAACTTTGAATAATCATCAGAGATTTTGCAGATAATCGACGTTTTAAACATTATATACCGATGATAAGTGTTCATTACAGCGTATAGAATTGTGCTTGACATAATATGTTTAAATATTTGAAAGTAGACATCTTAAGCGATATGCTCTTTTAGTTATTTCAAAACTCAACTTTTTGGAATGAGAAAAGTCTTAATAAATAGAATTGCATAAGCATTGTTAAAAATCGAGAGAGAATACATTTAGACACATGAGAATAGTGTCCTGTAAGGGTATGATTTTACGCAATTGGGCCTGAAATTACAGCTAATCGACATCGGGTAGATATTTTCATAATCACAGTACGGTTTTCAAACATTCATTTTATATAAAAAGAAAGTATATTATTTAGTTCATTCCACAAACGGCAACAAAAAGTATACATTTGCTTGTTGGCAATGAAACTGGAATGGAACACAGTGTTGGTGCCAAATGTCATAATAGTGAATACATACCGTGGATATCAAAATTGATCAACCACCTCAGTGAATTTTTTGTTTTGTTCATGTCTCAAAAACTAAATAAGCTAGAATGGTCTTGTTTTTGCCACATTGTATCCCATAGTCTCTAGTATACAGATACAAAATTTCAAGTCAAACTGTTGATGTATTCCATTTCTATTGTCAACATAATCACAGCACCCCTTTTGAACTGTTCCAAAATTGATCAATCACACATTGTTCACGATGTAGTGTGCGCCCATTTTAAGGCTAAATTTTCTTCATGATACACCATTAGAAACAGAAAATTATGCTCTACATAGTGGACTACTTTTTANAAAGACGTGCCCGCTCCTCCTCTTTCGATTGGTGAAAACCGCAGGTAGCTAGGTATTGCGGTTGTCGAGTTATTGAGCTTACACTCACCCCTCTTTTATTCTGGCGCGGACATTAGTTTAGGTTATTCTCCTCCCATAGATTTTTTTGTTCGAAAAATCATGCTGTTTTGGCTTTGCTCTGAAAAAAAGTTAAGTTTGGCTACAGACTAAATATTTGCTATGATTATATTTCCTAGAGTTGTTTGTCGAGTTGGTGCATTTCGGTGTATAGATGTCAATGTAAAGAGAAAAGCGTCTATATCCCTCAACGGGTGCTTTCGAAGCTCACTACTGAGTTTCCGACAAAATATAGCGACTACACTGCCACCATACGTCTTTTCAGTGAAAATTAAGACACCCGAAGCCTTCTTCTAATGGCATGTGTTTTCGAACAGGCAACAAACTTAATAGATTTTGTAATAGATAAATAGACTATAATAAAATGTTACATATACAATGAATCATATTTGATGCAGAATTGTTTTCGTTTATGAATTCATTCGGCAATATTGGAATCGACGAAAATGGGAATTACTGTCAACGTCATTCTCTCATATTAAATCCTGTTTTCACATTAATTCAACAATAAAAAGAGGATTAGGTATAGATGATCAGCTAAACCTTTGACGCTTGAAATAGTAACTATCTAATCAGATTGTATGGAAATTGAGAAGAAAAGACATTCTTTTAGTCTTAGCTTTTGAGTATATTCTGGTAAAACTGGTGCCGAAAAAGGATTTTTGAAAGTAGATCAGAGACTATTTAGCAGGAAAATGGAGTTTTTCTTATGTAAATAGGTGACTTTTTTTGAAGTAAGTGATAAGTAGTATTGATTACGTGATTTTCGAACAGCTAATCATTAATTGATAAGATTATTATTTTAGTTTCGGAATTTTGAAAATGATTTTTCGCATTGATTCTGAAGTGATAAATCTATGAGTTCATTTAAAATTTAATTTCATGTAAAATTAGATGCTCGAAGTTAAATCCGATTGGATTTAATCATAAAATTTTGAATGGCGCATAATGCCAAGTTTCAGAGTGTCGAAATTTGATTCGAAATAGAAAAAAAAAATTTATCTGAAAAAATTAAATCTTAATAACACTTATCCATTTAATTCGATGAGATTTCAAGATATAAATCAATTTGGATATACCAATTGAATAAGTGATGTAAAAGTAACACATTCTGAACTTTGAATCATAAATTTACTATCAATTAGAGAAGAAAGTCAAGTTCATTTTGGAATCACACAACAATATTGGATATTACAGTACCTTAAAGTACTTTACGGCTTTTCAGTACTTCATTACAAAATGCTTTCAAATGTTCAATCTATTAACTTGTTGAAAAAGTTCCCATTAAATGCTATAAAAATTGGACAGATATCTCATAGGTGCCTAGGTATTGCAACAATTCTCAGCAAGATACTCAGTCAAGATCCGGTGACATATTAGTAACAGGGTCCCACAGTGACAACTGACTCAGTTGACTGGTACCTTGAATTCAATAAATTCATTAGAGGTATATATCACATTAGTACTACATGAATTAAAAGTCACTATAGTCACCTAGGACAAGCATTACGATCGTCACACAATATATAATAAAATAGATACTGTAGCAGTACAATCGTGTACGACAGCCGTATGTCTTATCCGTATTTGAATGTGTGATGTTGTATACGACTATCGGTTTTTTTGTGTATTTTGCAGCATATGCCTTTTTCATCTAGACAATGTTCTGTTGGTGTATAATAATACTTGTGTCTAGTATACTAGCGACCTCTATTCAAATCTTGAAATAATCTTTTAAATCTCAATATATAAAATATAAAATATTTGATTTATTTTACATGACAAAAATCTTCAAATTCCATTGATTTTCTATGAAGAAATATATGGATTTGAACAAAACCAATAGAAAACATGGACTTGGAAGAAGTAAATAAAACTGAATCAAAACGCAAGAGATTGGATGTCTTGTTGGTTCTCATTTATTTATTTTTTTTTCGATCTATGAATACTTTCTTTTATGAATTAATTTTAGATCTTTTTTAGTCTTTATAAATAAAAATTCCAACATGACTGACAAAAAGACAACAGGAACAGCTACATCAGCTACAAAAAAAGCTTCAGCTGCTAGTAAAAAATCGGTTACAGCAACTCCAGCTCCACCAAAAGTTGAAGTAAATTTTTTGTCTTTGTTATTTTATTTTGATTATTCATTTTATTTATATTAAAAATTTACATAGAAAGCTGAATTAACTAAAAAACCGGTAACTACAACACCAACACCAGTTCAAACAAAACCAAAGGCTACTACACCAAGTACTAAATTAATATCATCATTGGCTAAAACTTCGACTAAAGTTACTAAAAAATCGACAGGATCATCAAAAAGTGGTGCTAAAAAGAAACATAAGGTTATTAAATATTATATCGACTGTACACATCCAGTTGAAGATGGTATTTTTGATCTTAATGCATTTGTACGTAGTTTTTCTTTGTTTGTTTCGATTTCTTTTTTTCTAAAAAAATATTTTTATAATTTTATTCAGGAACGATTTTTACATGAAAAAATGAAGATCAATGGTAAAACATCAAATTTAACTGGTGTTGTCGGTATTGAAAAGGCTAAAGCTAAAATAAGTGTTACATCGGAAGTTTCTCTTTCGAAACGGTAAAAATTTTTATTCATTTATTAATATTTTTCAATTTATTTATTGTATTTAGCTATATGAAATATTTAACAAAGAAATTTTTAAAAAAACATGAACTTCGTGATTGGTTACGTGTTATTGCTAATTCAAAAGATGCATATGAATTACGATACTTCAATATCAATCAAGAAGAAAATGAAGGCGAAGAAGCTTAAATTAATGATTCTATGTCATCATTTGTTTGTTTTCTTTTTTCTTGAACATCATCACCGATAAAAGAAAAAAAAGAATAACAAGAAGAAAGTTCATATTGTGATTGTTTTTTTTTGTTTAAAAAAAAGAAAAGAAAGAAAAAACAATAACAGCACAGAACTTAAAGTATATTTGCAGATTTTACATATGAATATCACTCAACTAGAGTTTTGGATAATTAACAAATATGAAAGAATGTTAAATATTTTTTTACTCAGTGTTTATAGGTCGATTGATTTTGCTTATTTGTTGAAATGTTGAGAGTGAACCGTGGAGGACTATTATTCCTGAAATACCAGAAGGCTAACTTTTCATCATCTAGAGAAGGTAAATATAATTTTATATAGACTAGATAGAGCAAACCATTCTCTACAAAATTAGGCGTTGCTGTGATACAGATAAAAAAGAGAACTTGGAGATGTTTCATTTTATTGAGGGCTGTTTACTCTATCGTTTAATGTAGTATAAACAATATTATTTTTACCCGTTCTAAGTACTAAAAAAGTAATTTTTGTCTTTGGGGGAACTTGATAGTAGTTTTTATTTCGTTATACTTTTTTTAGAAACAATTTTTTCTCTTTAGCTTCTT